TTGAGCGAGACCGGAAGCGTCGAGCTAGTAAGCGTTTCCTGCACTGCGTGCATCAACCACCTTGCGAATTAACACTCATTCGAAATGTCTATGTCGGGACGAGTAAAGCAATTCTTGTCTTATGCAATGTTTTACTTTCATGTACGTCAGTTTCGATATAAAATAATTTATGAAACAGTCTAAGTTCAGAAATGTACATTCCATCGATCGGTTTCGTTAGAAAAAAAAAACATCTCGTTCTAAGAAAGGGAAATCTGCTATGATAAGATAGAAATTACTTGAGTCGATTGTCTGTTAAATTTCCCGATTTCTAAACTTTTTGGCACACTTGTTCTTTGATTCGAGTTACATCGGAATATGAAATAAAAAATGGGGGTCACCATTCTTGTTTTTTTGTAAGTTTGATAAGAAAATGTCAATTCTGGCGCCAAATTTACATAGATATATAGGGAAAATGCCTTTTTTTCGACTTACTTTTCTGAATTTTTCAACGGATGGCTATTTTCTCATATACGGAGAAAGACTAAAAACTAACATAATATTCAGGATTGTATACCAAATCCATACATGTATAAAAAAACATATGTCACCATCCTTGTTTTTTAGATAAATCGCTTCAAAGATGACCGATACGCTTAGTAATTGACAAAAATTTGTGACGTTACGGAATACAGAATAACGTTATTTTTATTCAGAGTGATTGAAAAAAAAATGTGTAACGGGATCTGAATGGTGTTTGTTATTTTATTTTCATTCCCCCTGTTGGAAATTTCCTAATAATTCAGTATATCATTCGACTGAGTTAATTTTATTTCGTCCTAACTGTGTGCACTTTTAGCTTTCAAAACTGAATCTTCAACTTAACCCTACAAAACTAGACAATGCTGATGACACCGATGTATCTCTGCATGAATAAAATAAAGTGCTTCAAAAATTTGATTTGGTAAACAGTGATGTCGAAGTACAATTTGAATTGATTGATTGATGGTTGCTTGACGTCCAATGGCAGATATTTCATGGATTTTCAGGACGATACAATACAATTTGAAAAGTTATGTCTAAAAGACTCATTTGATGCAGCCGTCAAAAAAAGTTACACATTCTGTTAGTTGTGAATAATATAAAGAAAATCAACATCCTGATAAAATACGTATTCTATAAATATAGTATACTCTGTATGATGTAAACGTGTGGGTTGTGTGCGTTGTTAGTCGGACAAACCTTGCAAACTGTATGCAAAATTTCACTTGAATAGACAAAGTTCAATATTCTGTCATTCGTGGAAAATTATTAAAAAAAAGTGATCCTGAGAATATACCTGCACCCTCAATATAGGTAAAAAAAGACTTGGTGCAATATATCATCAAAATGCCAAATTCAGCAACCTGTCATAAAAAAATAAAAATCTGACAAGATGCGCGTATTGTATATGTACTAACACCAAGTACATAATTTAAAAGTTAAAGCTTCAAACCTATAATCCAAAAAATCAGCCGTATTTAAACCCTATATACCAAGTAAGGGACGGACTGTCGAAGGACACGGGTAAAACAATATGCTCCCAGCATTTTGTCAAGGGAGCAAAATATATATTAGCATATATGATTATTTTCTATTTTATAAATCATTTGGTGACAAAATATCTTTTTGAATAAGCAGTTCATAGTGGAATGGTTATATGGAGATCTCAAATGTAGCAACGTAAGCAAGCTAACGTCTACGTCATTTGGTCTTTGATGGAAAGTTCTCTAATTGGCAATCATACCACATCTCCTTATTTCATAAGCGATTGAGTTTTCTCCTGAAATACAAGAATTTTAAAGACTAACAAATACGTACTAGGAGACTGAAATATGTTGCTGTTATAGTTAACATCTGACTTTTGTTGTGAACATGTGATGTTATAATTTGATAGGTTTGATACTTGCCATATTAAATATACTTATTATCTTTCCAATTCAAGGGACCAACGAATCTTTACTAAAACTACAAATTAGCAGTAAAAAAATACTCGTCCATCCTGCATTAGCCACGTGTTATATAGATGTCTTTGGTTTTGTGTGTCGTTAATTGGCCATTTTCTGTTTTATTGTATATTGAATTGAAAGAAAAGATGTAACGGGATCTGAATGATTAAATTGAATTTCGACCTAACCGAGTGCACATTCAGTGTTGACATCCCATATGTTTAAGCCTTTGTTCACTTTCTCCTTATTCCGATGTGGCTGTCCTGTTTAGACTGTGACTATTAGATTACAATGCTAGTAGTTTCTTTTAAACAAGCTTTCGAAACCATATCAGATTTCTTCTGTACAGTCCAATAAATTTCAAAGACTGTTTACACTTGAAACATAGGAAAAGTTGTTCGGTCAAACAGCCAATTTGATCTACTCTTCTTTGTTCATTCCATGCCAATAAACCAGTTTCTGTCTGAGTTTGAACGTCTGCTTGTATGGTGCTTTTTTCGGAAAAATTCTATCGGTATTCTTTTCCAAATAAATTTCCTTTTTCTATTTTGCTAGCGACGTTTTTCGGTGACCATTTAAAAACGAATGGGCTTCTTAGCGGAATTGCATTAATTGTCGTACAATTCCCCGTATTTTCATACATTATCATGCGTTTCTATAATTTGGAATTCTGCTTTAAAAAAAAAAAATTCATCGGGAAACGTCGTGCATCCTTAATAAGAATGTGTTTGAAAAAAACCCAACCCAGAATAAAAATCTCAGTCTGTTATGCATAAGAACATATATAGATAAATCGTACAAACGCTTACTTATCTTAAAAGTATATATTTAAATGTGAAGAATGAGAAGAAGAATGGGAGGGAGACGCCGAAGCAATCAATGTCAAATATATAACTTATTGCATCAAATCCCTCGACATTCTGTATCTATGCAAAGTTATTATGAATAATGATAATAAAAATAAAAGATTAATTTACTTTTTATATTTCACCTAAGTGTGATTTTTTTTCTTTTATTTTTGTACTTTTATTTGAATCGTAATTATACAAAGTTTTTTGTTTTGTGATTGAATATGATAGTATAGAAAGCGTATTTTTAATATATAATCATATATATTTGCAAATTTGAAATAAAGAAACATTTATCTTTCAACTATTTTATACCAGACTGAGGCAAATTGTTTGTTTGATTCGTTCTAAGTTTTATACGTTTGACGTCAATTTCAAAGATGTCGACAACAGCAGGAACGATAACTCGTGGCGTAACGTCATTCGGTATCGTGTTACCTTAATATATTGATTGAAATAAAAAAAAGGGGAATGTAGTGATATAAACAAACGTACTAAGCCCTGTTGAATTTTCTCTAGGTGTCCCATTTCAGAGACATGCTGAATATTTGTCGTATGTTATATATCGACGTTTTATCGATTTTTAAAAGTGGGTGTGGAAGGGAGTAGGTTAATTTGTTCAAACTTTTTTCAATTTTTATATATTTGGAAAGATACAGAGCTTGAAATATTATACAGACACCTTTGGATTGTCGAAGCCCGTATTTTTATATGATAGTATTAATTTTGTCGTTGGGTTGCTTTATCACTGACGCTTAACCTATACCTCCGTTTATTCACATAAACATGTATGTAAAAATGGACGATGTCAACTACTATTATAAGCTGTATCATATCTGACTTTCTTTCTGTTAAATGCATTCAATATGAATAATAGACTCGGTATATCCAATAGTAAGTACATCATAAATGTATCAGCAACGCAACTATTACTAACAATATTGTTTGATTTTTCAGAGTTTAATTTTTCTTTTGAGGTTGTTACAAGATAGAAGAATTCATAACAATAAAGAAAAAGATCGGCAACTGAGAGGTTAGATTGATTGATTGATTGTTGGTTGCTTAACGTCCAGTGGCTGAGATGTAAGATAGATAACATGGATAAGTATACCTCCTCACATTTGCCAATAAAATAATCGTTCCATAACAAACGAAATATTATTAAAATAGGAACTTGAAGCCTTAATTCCAGGATCTATAATTTTTACAATAATTTTACCATAGATGATGTAAGGCCTGATCCACCGAAAGCTTTAATCATATTATGTAGAAGACTATTGAATAGTTTAGGAAAATTATAATGGTCCACATTGTAACAAAACAATCAATAGAGAATTGCGTTTTTCGAAGACTTCAAAAAACCTTTTTATACTAAACAATATCTAGACCTCTACTATTCTTTTTACAATTTTACGTATTACTGAATAATGCGATTTTCAATTGGTAGTAAACTTGTAAGATGCAAATACAATTTAGTTGAAAAAAAATGAAAGAAAAAAAAATCCTTTTTATGACAACAATATTAAATAACAACATCACATAACCACCAAACGATCGAGGACAAATAGGAGTATAGAAAGTCTCAAACAGGATCAATTTGAGTTTATTAGTTAATATTCATTTAAAAGCAATTAAGGAATGTCGAAAACCCTATAAAGTAATAATGAGCAATGAATTACTCTATCATTCGTAATAACCATTTGAGCTTTTCGATTTTTACACGAGTTATCTCCTCAATGACGTTTGTAAACAAAATGGCAAGGCCAAGTTGGAAGTCCACGTAATGACGAAGAAACAAATATTTGAAATCCATCTGGTGCCGAGAATAGCTTTCACAAAAGGACCTTTTTAGAGTTATCAATATTTTACAGAAAGAGTCTTCCTTGGTTGTACATACGAGTGGTTTAAAGACACAAAATAATTCTTTGACGGAAGTGTTTTGATTATGTGTTACTGTATAAGGGCCGCATGTATTTTCAATGATTTGCAAAAGGCCTTTCTACTGTAAGTTCAGTATCATTAAACACATGTGGACCTTTCGGAGCGGTGCATATCTAATTGGCAACCCTACAATTTTTTTTCACTTTTGACTCGGCCCTCAAAGAAATAATCTTTTACGGTTGAGATTTCTGCATATTTACATAAATTGATAAACATAATACTTATAATGATGATAACAATGATCGAGAAATTAACTTTTATTCCGTATTGATGTACTAAAGAACTGGCGTCTTTTCAAATTGAGAATTACTACATACACTTTCTGCTATTATCTAAAGCATTAATAAAAATGTAGAACATTGTTGTGTTATTCCATCTTGGTATAACAATCCCACATAGATTTTCATATTTTTTTCTTTGTATATATTGCATATATAAACTCATCATAGATACACTTAAAACAATAATTTTAAGACTGAGAATGTAAGTAGCAAGCATCCTTATATTAAGCAAACATTCAAACTTAACAAATAAATATAATAATTCAACATACTTTGGAAGAGTCGACATAGTGGACGTAAATTTACAGAAGGAAACATTGAATAATCCATGTTATGTACAAGTTAGTTATTGGACAGAATACTTGGGTGTTCACAAATATCCTATCCGAGTCATCCTAATGGTCAGAAGAATCATGATTAATATGCACGTTTAAAACAGTAACCGACAGGGATTTGTTTCTTTATCAATAAATTGAAAACTGCTACCAATTTAAATGATATACATGATAAATGCCGCATGAAATTGAAAACAATGACTAATGGATATTATCTGATTATAGTTCAATTTGCAAGATTAATTTTCTGTACAATACATTTTTCCGCAAAACTTTTAAGAGATTCGTGCAACTTTAAAGCTTTAATAAATCCAGTTAACTTCTTGTAGTTTTGTCGTAATAGTCTTCAGTTTTCTGTCCAAAAACATGATCATAGGTTTCCTCTTTTCCATCTTGTCTTGTGTTTTGTTTCGCAGAATCATACATGGTATCGACTGCATGACTGTATACGTTTGAGTTGTTAACAACATGTCTTTGTTCATTGGTTTTATCATAAACCCCCTCCTCAGATAGCACATACGGTGATTGAGTGTCTTTAGATGGATGACTATAATCTTGGCCGTCTTTGTTCTTTGTCGTGTTTGTGCTGCTGTTCGTTCCCTGGCTATTCAGTACCTTTTTGTTTGATGGATACTGAGGTAGTGCTATATTTTGTTGGCCTATATAGTCATCATCAGTGGTTTTACTCATGAAGTTTAAGAATTTGCGATCCGAATCTTTACTAACATATCTGTAAAAAGGGCATTTTTTTCAATAAAACTCAATATTTGTGTACATGGCATTGCCATTTTGGTCAACTATTCATCTCAAATGTATAATGTCAATCATCCACGAGTATCTAAGAAAATAGCTTGTTTCATTGTTTCATGATACAATGTTTTATACTCTGAAATAATGTTTAATTGAGAATGGAAATGGGGAATGTGTCAAAGAGACAACAACCCGACCATAGAGCAGAAAACAGCCGAAGGCCACCAATGGGTATTCAATGCAGCGAGAAACTCCCGCACCCGGAGGCGTCCTTCAGCTGGCCCCTAAACAAATCTGTATACTATTTCAGTGATAATGGACGTCATACTAAACTCCAAAGTATACACAAGAAACTAAAATTAAAAATGATACAAGACTAACAAAGGCCAGAGGCTCCTGACTTGGGACAGGCGCAAAAATGCGGCGGGGTTAAACCTGTTTTTTTAGATTTCAACCCTCCCCCTATACCTCTAGCCAATGTAGAAAAAACAAACGCACAACAGTACGCACAGTAAAACTCAGTTTAAGAGAAGTCCGAGTCCGATGTCAGAATAGGAAACAAAAGAAGATAAACAAAATGACAATAATACATAAATAACAACAGACTACTAGCAGTTACTGACTTGTCAGCTCCAGACCTCAATTAAACTGATTGAAAGATTATGTCTTCATCATACTGAATATCAGGCACAATCCCTCCTGTTAGGGGTTTAGTATTATACCATCATAAAATATATGAGAAGAACATAACCCGTGTCATGCCAACAACTGGTTTTAGAATAAATATGTTTAATTCCGATGCAAAGACCCTATAAGTGAATCAATATTAAAGCCAAATTATGCAATCTTTAATGACTTGACAACAGTATCGTAACTATATCCCTTCTTAATAAGTCTGTTTAAAGGTTTTTTTTTTTTGCTTTTGAGGTGAATACATTTTAGTCAAGCTTACATATCGGATGTTTTGAAAAATGCAACCGTTATAGGACCTTATGCTGATGCAAACCTGTAAATTATTTCATGTACCAAATTCATCACATTAATCGTTCAGATTATTGACGAGTTTCACTATTGTAGTAGTAACTACTATTCAGAGCATGGTTTTGGTTTGTTTTGTGTTATCGGTATGAGGACAATAATATTAAACAAAACGTAAAACATGAATCAACAAACATATTAGACAGTGCAACAGGCCAGACCAACCAACAACCGACACCACCAAAAAAATAGAAGTACCCATGTATTGTGAGATCATGCAGAAAATTTTAACTGAACAAAATTCCCCAAAACAGTTCAGGTAATGTAAAAAAATAGCTATTGTACAGTACATACACAAACAATGTTTGAATTCATTCCCCAAGTCACAATTCATATAAGTTAATGTTTAATTTTTAGTCTTTGGGTAACAATTGTGATTTTTTCGTTGACAATTGTTTGATCATCTCTATGGTATATTCCTACTCAGAATAATCATATATGTTGGCGTTATTCTTTCTCTGTGAACATTACATGAAAATAGGATGCCTGGGAAAGATTGACTTGCACATCTATTAAATAGTATAAACAGATCTTAATCACGAATCATGCAGGAGATGTTATGATTTTACAGTGTTTGATTTTTTGTGTCATCTTTTATTTTACCAGCTGTGTGCGTTTGATGTTCAAAGATACGTTTATTTTCTTCAAGTAGTTCATGAATAAACATGTTGTGAAATAGTTGTTTATAGTTGACAGTAAAATGTCAACAGATGTTACACACGATTGATCTTCACGATGTTAATACTGTTGTTATGGTACGACTGTGTACCGCCATTTAAAACACACAATGGTTAATAGCTTTTATGTAGCTTTTGGAATTATTGACAAAACTTAACTAATACACATGAAAGTTAACCAGCATCAAATTGTATTCTGCTCTAATAAATTTTTTAAGACGAATTTATGCTTGCATGAAAACGCATGAAAGCTACCATAAAGAAAAATATATAATAAATATACTTTAGACAACAAATTATAGGTTGTCAAATATTTCATCTTCATACTGTGTTCTTTTTACAAATTGCATGTTCACTTGTGACGATATATGGTACGCGTATATTGTTACCTATATCAAACCATGATTGATATCAAACTTGCCACCGTCAGACTATTTTTATAATATTCTTTCTCTAATTATGACATGTGTTATTCATACCTTCGCCAAACAAACGCAATTACTACGATGACGCAAACCACTACAATAATAGCCACTGGTATTCCAACAGCAATTCCTTGTAAAAAAGAGAAATATATTCAAACGTTATACAGTTTGAATATCAGAAAGTTTTGTATTCTTGGGTGTTATTGTATTTACGAACATAAACGATAACATGAACTATAACCGAACTTATTTTTGTACCTTCGCCTTCAACCAAGAATCATTGACCTCAACTGACGAATTAATGTCATATATTGTGATTCTTTAAAATGGATGTAAGTATATTTCACTTCATGCAACCTCGAATTCTTCTTAGAACTTGAACTATTTGTCATAACATTTTACCTAGTACTCAAAGTACCAAATTTGTGTTAGAAATACCAAATCAAGTTTTTTGATTGGCCGAATTTTGAAGTTGATATTCGTATTCAAAATGTTTATGACCGAAAGACCTGATTCGAACTGTATCTCGGATTTTACAAATTAAAAAACGCAGAAAGTTCTAAGGTAAACTTGAAAGATCAAGCTTATATGCTTTATCAAATGCTGAATCGAACACTTACTCGGACTCTTAAGTGTATGGAACTTAAACGTGATATTGTTAATAAGCAACGTTAAATTAGTTTATGTATCGCATACCTAAGGTTGATGATCCAGATGTTCTTGAGGATTCTTTTTGAGGAGAGGGATACGTCACACATTTCCCTAGTCTTTTAGTGCCTGTGGAAAAAGAAACAACCTTCAGTATTTTGTGCATTAAATGATTCATTGACCTGATATAGTGAAATTATATTATAATGATAATGACAATATGATTGATTGTTTATTTATGGATGGGTGACATCATGAGCTGGTTGACTGTTATAGAATATCTGTTTCACAGACCACTGTATGCTTCAATTGCGCTTACCATTCTTCAGTTCTCTTTTCGTTGATTGTGACATCACCGAATGAGACATACGATGAGCAATACGACAAGTGCATTGTTTAGTGTGGCTCAATCCTGAAAGTTTATTTAGTGTTTTGTAGAATGTTGATTGTCTTGTTGTCGTTGTTTTTTATTTGCCATACATTTAAAATTGAGAACGGAAATGAGGAATGTGTCAAAGAGACAACAACCCGACCATAGAACAGACAACAGCAGAAGGTTACCAACAGGTTTTCAATGCAGCGAGAAATTCCCGCACCCGGAAGCGTCCTTCAGCTGGCCCCTAAACAAATATATATATACTAGTTCAGTGATAATGAACGCCATACTAAACTCCAAATTGTACACAAGAAACTAAAATTAAAAATAATACAAGACTGACAAAGGCTAGAGGCTCCTGACTTGGGACAGGCGCAAAACTGCGGCGGGGTTAAACATGTTTATGAGATCCCAACCCTCCCCCTATACCTCTAGCCAATGTATAAAAGTAAACGCATAACAATACGCACATTAAAATTCAGTTCAAGAGAAGTCCGAGTCTGATGTCAGAAGATGTAACCAAAGAAAATGAACAAAATGACAATAATACATAAATAACAACAGACTACTAGCAGTTAACTGACATGCCAGCTCCAGACTTCAATTAAACTGATTGAAAGATTATGTCTTCATCATATGAATATCAGGCACAATCCTTCCCGTTAGGGGTTTAGTATCATACCATCATAACATATATGAGAAGAACATAACCCGTGTCATGCCAACAACTGGTTTTTAAATAAATGTGTTTAGTGCCGATGCAAAGACCCTATAAGTGAATCAATATTAACGCCAAAATATGCAATGTTTAATGACCTGACAACAGTATCGTAACTATATCCCTTCTTAATAAGACTATTTAAAGGTTTTGTTAGCTTCAGAGGTGAATACTGACATTTTTGTGCTTTATAAAGAATATTTCCATAAAAAATTGGATGTGAAATACCTGAACGTATAATTTGTCGGTTTCTCTTCAACTTATACGTTTTGCTCCCTTTGGTATTGTCCACCATTTTTTTAGAATTAGTTAAAAAGATATATATCGTTTATTTATACTTGAAAAAAATAAGGAATCAGTTGATACAAATTGACTTACCTTGACAACACATGGCACCAGCTACTTTGGTTGTATTACAACTTGTTTCATACTTTGTAAAATTACATTCGAATAAACTTGCTTCAAGTCCATCACAATGCAAGGAATAATCAGCAACTGGTATATCCAATAATGTGTCAACAACTGTAGAATTCCCAATCCATGTACTGTTTAAATGTGTACACAAAACTGAAGCATCATCATCATCCCATTCAGAACTACAAAGATGCTGCGTTTGATTTTTCGAATGAAAATAGATAACTACTCGGTGGTCTTTATCAAGGCTAAGTTCAGGCAGTTCGTCATCTGAGACAAAAAAAAACATATTAATTTTTTAGATAGCTATCATTCACTAATAAATACAAATCTATTCTCATCTTAACACAATGTATAAAATGGCCGAATAAGACAAGCGCTTAAATAAAATGTAATTACTCCGATATAAGCATTAAATTTAAACGATTTTATCAAAATACCCAGAAAATGTTGATTTGTGATCTTTGTCAATGAATAAAGCAGTTGATGTGTTAATCCACAACTTTTAAATCACTTAATAATCTAATAATTTTACAAGCTTGTATCCACTAAACAACATTTTTTGCAGTTTATAGTTTCTATGCATTCATGGATAGATACTTTCTGTTTTAAGCTTTCATTGCATTGACTTTTTCTAGTTTTAATTATTCGTGTATACATTTAATTCCGGTTTACAGAAAACATTATAACTTGAATTCATTCAGTATATAATTTTCTTAACTCACACAGATTGAACAAAAACATATTCATGATAGTATTACTTACTTTCAGAAGAAGAAATATTTTCAGCTGCGAAAGTAGTCGTTTCCAGTTTACGATCTGAAGAAAAACAAAGGAAGAAAGGACTTTTAGCTTATATATTTCTTAATATAATGATAAAGAAAAACATTTTACAGAAAATGACATAAATTGATACAGTTGAGCAAAGAAAAAGAAGGCCAGATGCAGCTAACATTGTAACAAATTAGCTCTTCACATCTGACACAGCTTTCATTTTTATGACAAAATCAGGAATGCGATCGGCATGTATGTTGCCTGGAACACCTTTTATTGCTCTAATACAGAAAAGCGATATCATGCTTTCAAAATATAAACATTTGAAGATTGCAAAAAATTGTGTTAAAAGATATGTATACTACAGCAACCCAACTCAAAAACTCAAAATACATGTAGCAGTGAAACGGTGTTCAGCATAGACAATTTCAGTGTCATACAATTAAAGCTATATCTTCGAAATTTAGTTTATAAGTTATTGTCCTTGTTCGTTTATTTCGAACATATTTATATCAGGTTCTATCAATACACAAATGAAAACTCTTTAAAAAACTATAAACCTGTTGATGTGCTGTGTATGCTCTCTGTGACTGGACGATCTGTTGGTCCTGAAAGTAAAAGTTCACCATGTATCAATGCTGTTTCAACAATGAATGTAAGGATGGATTGTATAATACAAATGACAGCAATATTGGAAAACAATGACTACAAAATTTTATCCGCATCAATATAGAGTGCAAACATGTCCTCTTTTTATTTAACATGTTCAAAATATTGATTCGCCACAAAAAAATCAGTAGGTTTGATATCTCAGGCTGGCTCGTATCACTAAATTATAAGACCGCATCAACCAAAACTGACCATATTTGCACTTGGGAATTTATATAGCTGCATAATAAATCAGTATTTTGTTTTAAATCAGGATGGATTTTATTATACAAATGACAGCAATATTGGAATACAATGACTACAAAATTTGTTCACATCAATTTAAGTTGCCAGCATTTCCTCTTTTTATCCACAATATTGTAGCATCACAAAAAAATCATTACTTTTAATTTCTCAGACTGGTTCGTATAACAAAAATATTGGACTGCATCAACCAACACTAACCATATTTGTACTTTATAATAAACATCATGAACCTGATATAACATGTATGAGGTGGCATCATCTGAAAATCGTTTGATATTGCCATTTGATTACGGACTTTCCGTTTTGAATTTTCCTCTGAGTTCGGTATTTTTGTTATTTTACTTTTTCCTGACTGACCATAATCATGATCATTTGCAATTTTATAGCCGCATCATAAATCAGTAAATTTGTTAACTCAGGATGGATTGTATTAAACAATCGACAGCGATATTTGTACACAATGGCCATGATGACTACAAAATATTGGCCGCATCTATTTAGATTGCCAGCATTTCCTCCTTGTATTCATTATATCGAACCGTCACTAAAGGCAGTAGTTTTCATATTTCAGGATGGTTTGTATAACAAAAATATTTGACCCATCATCCAACACTGACATGACTGATTATATTTGTACTTTATAATGAAAAGTATGAGATGTTCTCATCTTGGAATAGTGTTTCCCTCCGTTTTAGTTTGTAACCCGGATTTGTTTTCTCTCAATCGATTTATGACTTTTGAACAGCGGTACACTACTGTTGCCTTTATATACTGACTGACTGTTAGTATATCATGTCGGTTGATTGATTTTGGTGGTAGCTAAACATCCAGGGGCAAATATTTCAATCATGTTCAGGGTATATTTTTTTCGGACGGTCTAGATATCATTTATAATCGGTAAAGATGAATCTGCCGAAATTGACGAAATGGTTCATAACTATACAACACCTTATATATACGGACATTATACAATTTTCGTTTGAACATTTTGTGTCAAACACAGAATCGTAAATCAAAGGCAAACAAGGTGAATAACGATGAATACTCCATGTAATGCAGAGTTATATTTAGGAAGAGACTTAAATAATGGGGAACGAAGCAACGTACACAATGATGATTAATCCCATTATATAAAAATATTTTTCCAATGCGTTGGATAACCTTTTTATCCGTCTTCCAATTAAAAAAATCCTTTCCTTTCTGTTTTGAAGGCTGCATATATATATATGTCGATCAACAAGTGTGAAATAGTATAGCCATTATTTAATGTATATAAGAATATTAAATGACAAAAGCAAATTTTAATGTGTATTTAATATGAACATGATGTAAACAGAGTCACCAACGAGTATAGTAGTTTGCTATACTGGGAAAAAAGTACTGAAATTTCTTTTTAAGTTTATAATCCTAGATTATCATGATACGTTTGCCGTTTTAACATGCTTAATAAATATACATATTTATATTACTTACCTTTACACACATACTGAATGCTGGCAAATCTTTTATGATAAAGCAAAGATGTCTTAGAGGTATCCGATGAGCACCTGCGATTTTCATTGCATAATCTCTTAAGAAATGCTTTAGCTTGTTTAACGTTCATACTATCACAGCCACTAGTCTTGATAGAGGACTTGGCACCTTCAATATGAATGTGGTACCCGGAAGGACAATACACCTCTTTTAACGAATTCGCACAGGTATCTACAGGTGCAGGATGTTTGTTACTACTCCAAAAACCTCCTAGAGACAGTAAAATCTTGATCAATTAATGATCAGTAAGTGACATAGCGTATACTTAGTAAAAACTAAATAACAGATAAGATTCAAGACAAGTAATTAAATTTCATTTGTGTATACGCAATATTCTGTTAATATCAAAATTGCACTTTTAAGCATTTAAAGAATAGACTTGAATTTGTGCTGATTTCAGGCAGATTCTGACATTCAAAGGTTGCTTTCATAGAACGGTAAAACACTTAAGGGATCACCATTAAATTGGAAGTAAGAGTATAAAATATTTAAACATGCCTAACCTCATTTTCAAAAATGTCCGGCAAAAGCGTAAACATTCTTCCACATTACAGTCAAATTTATTGATTTTAGATATATATGATAGAAATGCAAAAAAAGTTGAATTATTTCTGGTTAGTTTTGGAAAACTCTAAAATCAAACATTGTGAAACGTGCTTAGTTGCTATCCAAAACTTTTAAATACCATGTATAATTTTTAATCGATATGAGTGGTATTCTTTATTGCAAGGCGACGACAATGTTATTTTACATTATTCTTGTTATTGAGAGTAAAGTGATCGACATCAATTAAATGTCAGAAGAGCACATATGTTCCCTTGTTTACCTTTCTACATGTAAAGAAACAGGTGATTGTTGAATGAATATTTCAAATGCTCATATACGATTCGTGATATCTAATATATTAGGGAAAATGTACAATCACGCAGTCATTTAATTCACTCAAACAAATCAATCCCTGGCATACCTCAATTTGAAATTAATTATCAAAACATAATGAAGATATGAGATGATTGACAGTAGTGGGCCGTTATTGACAAACGCGAAAACGTAAACACGCAAAATCAAGAAATGATTTAGATTTCACGTTTTGCGCGATTTCGTGTTTTCTCTTTTGCGATTTTAAGTTTTTGCTTTTTCATGTAGGCGTAAAGTTTGAAAAAAAACAAAAGTTACACAACTTGAAAAAAAAAACGTTTAATTAGTCGCACAAGGCTTCCATACTACATGGTTATTTTAAATGAATGGATTCCATTTCATCGTTTTATAACAAACAACAATTAAAGTGTTTAAAATTTCATCAATTGTAAAAAGATGCAATTTCTTCAGTATAAAACACACAAATCAACATAGAACATATAAGCCAGTTCAGAGCAAAATCTTAATTTCCATGTAGACATTTGAAAATCCATTTAGTTTTATATTTATATAGTACGCATCTTCAATAGTCATTATTTATGAAATATTGACCTAAACATTAGTACTGAAAAAGGAGGAGTATTCCATAACATTTAGTTAATATACATCATGTACATATATATATATATATATCAATATTAACATACATCTTGGTATATGTAAAGGTAAAAAAAAAACGTTTAAAAGCAATAGTTTAATGCAGAACATTTGAAAAGCGAGAATGATCAAAATAACACAAAAATATGTGCTAGTCAGAAGCCATTTATTCAGTGGTTGTCGTTTGTTGCTGTGTATCATATTTGGTTTTCGCTCATTATTTTGTACAAACATTATGCTGATAGTTTTCACATTTAACATTTGTCATTTCGGGGCCTTTTATAGCTGACTTTGCTCTGAGGGTTTTGCTCATAGTTGCAGGCCGTACTGCGACATAAATGTAAATAGCAGTGTCATTTTGGTCTCTTGTTGAGAGTTGTCTCATTTGCAATTATACCAAACTTCTTATTTTCATAGTAGTATTTCAATTGCATGTGTTTTTTGTTAAATAGACAAATATGGTTCCCTATGGTCATGTCATTACAGGAGACCTTAACATCGTCGAAGACCGTGAGGTCAAAACTTTTCTTAAGAAAGGACCTAAATATCGTCCTCCATCTATAACAGTGTCGTCAGGTCATTAAAGACGCTGTGTCTGCCTACTGTAAAAATTGGTGTAAACGTGACAAAATCTAATAAAAAAATCTCTAGACAGTCATTTGAATATCTCATTGAAAACAATTCTGAAATTAATAATAGGGTCCATGATATTCCCATTTCTAGAATAAAAAATAAACTCCAAGTACTCGCAAAGCGGTTTGTTTTCGTACCGGCAGACAAAGCAGCCAATAATGTAGTGGTGGTGTGACGCATATACTACACGGAAGTTCTTCAAAACGAAATTATCAATTCTTCTACATTCAGATCCGTACGCTCCACAGAGAGTCAAATTGTAAACAAGCATATCACTGCCACTACCCAGCTTAAAGCCTCTTCCGAACAATTGAAAGTCCCTACTATGTACTGGTTACCTAAACTGCACAAAAACAATTTAAATTCCGTTTCATCTCCGCAAGTGTAAGTGTAAGTGTTCTACTACTAATCTATCAGTGCTTCTAACTACCTCCCTTACTACTATCAAAGAACTTGTTATTAACTTTTGTAATAAAGCTTATGAAAATAATTGTATTAATTATTTTTGGAGTGTTAAAAATTCTTTAGAGGTTTTAGATAAAATACATGCTTTTGATGGTCCTTTTAATTCTGTTGACAGTTATGATTTTTCTACTCCCCACACTACACTTCCACACAATCTTATCAAGAAAAATTTGCATATTTAATTAAATGGTCTCATTGCAAATTTATTTGCTGTAACTCGTTTAAAGCCTTTTTCTGTGAAAAAGGAAAGTATGCTAGATACACTAACTGGAAATGTGTAGATATGATTGAAGCTTTAAATTTTCTCCTGGACAACATATATGTACGTTTCGGCGATAAAGTGTATCGACAAGTAGTAGGTATTCCTATGGGCACTAACTGCGCCCCTTTAATAGCAGATTTATTCCTGTATTGCTATAAATCTCAGTTTATGACCAAACTCAGTAAAGACACGTCATTGTTACATTTGGTTGATACATTCAACAAAACCTACCGTTGTCTTGATGATATTTTTTCGTTAAATAATCCAGAGTTCTCTAAATGTACTACCGACATTTACCCAAAGGAACTTACTTTAACTAAATCTAACACAAACAGCAGTAGTTGTCCTTTTCTAGATTTAGACATTTCAATTACAAAAGGAAAGTCCATACTAAAATTTACGACAAAAGAGACGATTTTTCATTCCCTATTGTTAATTTTGCTTTTTTAAACGGCGATGCACCTTTGGCTCTATCATACTGTGTTTTTATATCCTAACTCGTTCGTTATGCCCGTGTGTGTAGTGATGTCATAGATTTTAACGAACGTAATCAATGCATATTTATTCTAAAACAAGTTGTTGGCATGACACGGGTTATGTTCTTCTCATATATTTTATGATGGTATAATACTTAACCCCTAACAGGAGGGATTGTGCCTGATATTCATATGATGAACACATAATCTTTCAATCAGTTTAATTGAGGTCTGGAGCTGGCATGTCAGTAACTGCTAGTAGTCTGTTGTTATTTATGTATTATTGTCATTTTGTTTATTTTCTTTTGTTTCCTATTCTGACATCGGACTCGGACTTCTCTTAAACTGAGTTTTACTGTGCGTACTGTTATACGTTTGTTTTTTCTACATTGGCTAGAAGTATAGGGGGAGGGTTGAGATCTCAAAAAACATGTTTAACCCCGCCGCATTTTTGCGCCTGTCGAAAGTCAGGAACCTCTGGCCTTTGTTAATCTTGTATCATTTTTAATTTTAGTTTCTTGTGTATACTTTGGAGTTTAGTATGACGTCCATTATCGCTGAACTAGTATCCATATTTGTTTAGGGACCAGCTGAAGGACGCCTCCGGGTGCGGGAGTTTCTCGCAGCATTGAAGACCCATTGGTGGCCTTCCGCTGTTGTCTACTCTATGGTCGGGTTGTTGTCTCTTTGACACATTCCCGTATTCCATTCTCAATTTTATCACTGGTAAATTATTAAGTCAGGGATTTCATGACCATAAATTACTTAAAACTTTTACTAAATTCGTTCATAGATACAAAGATGTGATTAGTAAATTTGGCTGTACCTGTAAAAAACTTATTAAAAACGGTATTTCACATCCTAAATTTTACGGTAATATTGTACTAAAAGCGCGGAAATCACTATGTGATCCGTGTAAACTGATCGAACCTTTATACAAACTTATTAGTAAAGGTTATCCTACCAATGTTGTAATTAGATCTTTGAAAATAGTTTACATTGGCACAAATATCGATTTTGTCATCAGCAAATTAAAACATAACTAAATGTGTATTCTTTTCAAACGGGATGTATAAAGACACATCCACGTTAATTTTTTTCTATAAAGAGGTTAACTCCTAACTATCCTACTGCCTGTCGATACATTTATTTTTTGGCATTGCACAAGTCATGTCTTCTTGGACTGTCCATGACGTTAAAATACTAAATCCCTGGGATATGTTTTAGTTGATTTTAGTCTCTGATGCATGATTTTTTTTATTATTAACTGTTTTCGGCTTTTAACTAGCTGTCAGTAACTGCGAGTACTCTCAAATCGTACTTTCTTTTAATTTGACCTGTTGATACTATTTGTAATCCTTTTTTGTTATTTAACTTTTACCTTTTCAGGGTTATATCTCGTCTAATTACCAGCTTTGATAAGTGTTTGGTATGACTATAAATTTTCACTTCTTCGTACTATGAACAACAAAATTATTTTTTTTGTAAAAATATTTCCGTTCTCCATTTAAACTGTATACCTTACAACAAAATTATATTTATTTACCTGTGTAAATTATTATTTTTGGCGGCTTTTTGTTCAAGGTTATTGTTGGTTTTTTTTAATTGTTTAACATCTCACAGCGGTATACTACTGTTGTCTTTATTTATTCACCCCTTATGTTATTGATTGTGTATTTACACTGTATCATAGATCGAATTTATTCGTTCAGTATATGTTCACTTGTGTTAATATGTCTTTTGATTAAGTTAAGCCATTTCAATTGATATTTATAGTGTGTCTTTCTATGTTGTGATGTTACACTATTGTTTCAGATAAGGGCGAAGGTTGGTACCTATTAAAACGTTTAAACCCGCTGCCTTTGTTTGCACCTGTCCTAAGTTAGGAATCTGATGATCAGTGGTTGTCGATTGTTGATGTGGTTCATAAGTGTTTCTCGTTTCTCGTCTTTTATATAGATTATACCGTTGGTTTTCCCGTTTGAATGGTTTTACACTAGTCATTTTAGGGCCCTTTTTAGCTTGCTGTTCGGTGTGAGCCAAGGCTCCGTGTTGAAGACCGTACTTTGACCTATAATGGTTTACTTTTACAAATTGTGACTTGGACGGAGAATTGTTTCATTGGCACTCATGCCACATCTTCTTATATCTATATAAGAATTATACCACATGGTGCTTTGAATTTTGAAAATATCATTTGCAATACGACAAGATATCATAAACGTTCTAAATTTTTAAAACCCTATGTTTACGTCTGGAAACTGTGCCTGTGTCGTTTGTTTTATTTATGTGTACCGCACGTATCGTTTTATTCGTATTAAATAGCAAAGAAAAACAACAAATAAACAGACATATACTGGCATGATACTCACCAGAACACTCAAAATGTACTTCTAAACGTCTTGATGGTCTTTGACAATTTTTTTTAAACAAAATGTTGAATGGAAGAGTACAATTATTTTGTCCAAGACAATGGTCATCGAAATAAGTATTTATATTTGAGAGACATATATTTCTGTTGTTTGCATCCTGACATGGTGATTCAACATATTTTATCGATTTCCAACCAATGGTTTTGTTTTCAGGACAAGAAACTTGTTCATATCCGTCTCTAGAATCTTCACAAAAAATTACGTTTACAGGTTCTACAAATAAATAGATAAACATTATATTAGAACATGTATGTATATTACCATTTACAATTATATATAGTGTTTTAAAGTTTGCTTTACTTCAGATTCTATACATTTTGCTATCAGCTATTAACGTGCGTATGTTATCAATTAACAATATAATGAGTCAGGATATGCTTACCTTCCAGAGAAGCATATGTTGCCAAGTCTAAAGTTAGATATATAATGATATGTATACTGCTGTTTGTTTTTCATCGTAATTGTTTTTGCCATTATAACAATTTTTATTGGTAAATCTCGAAAAGCGCTTCGAAAACTAGAAATGTATAATGTGTTTTTTTTTGTTTGTTAACTACATGCAGCACTGGGTCGATACCGTTGGCGGTGAACTGATAGTCTCATAGTAGAGATTTCCCGATCTGCTACGTATCGGGTACGGTTGTTACGTAACTCAATTAATATCAATGTAATTAATATTCAGTAAATACTTCATTTTTTTCTTTTTCTTTTCATTTATTATTCAAATTTCATTATTTAATACTTATTGTACCTGTTTATTTATTTATTTATTTGATAATTTTTATTTATTTATTTGATAATTTTTATTTATTTATTTGATAATTTTTATATATTTATTTGATAATTTTTATTTATTTTTTTATTTATTTGATGATTTTTATCTATTTATTTATTTATTTGATAATTTTTATCTATATATTTACTTATTTGATAATTTTTATTTATCTGATAATTTTTATTCATTTGATAATTTATTTATTACATTTTTTTTCTGAATTCATGTACTGTGGTTTCATTTATTTTCCTGAGTACTAATTTTCGTGGATTGAGGAAAACTCGCATTTTCGTGGACAATTGATTTCATGGTTTTGCCAAAGTCTGTATACATTCTTAGTGAAAATTTGTAATTCGTTGTACATTAGAATTCGTGGTTCTCGGGTAACCATGAAATGAACGAACATTGGTATCCAACGAAAAAAAATGAATCCACAGAATCTCTTTATTTATTACTTTTATCTCTTTATTATTTCAAACAAACGTTTGGGATACTGTTTTCACTTTTAAAGGCATTGTTTCTTTTACAGTTCAGTAAATCTATGACAATTTTAATGTTCTGTTCATATTCCCACGACGAACTTTAAGAATGAAATAATTTCTGAAGATGTTCTTCTGGAATTTATACAATTACATCTATATTGCTCGCTGACCAAGGGATCTATGCGTACAATTTAATTTTAACTGAATATTTTTTTAAATATATAAGGACATAATCGAAATCTCTTGATATCATCCAAAATTGTATTGAAAAACGCAGAAGTGGAAATTAACTTTTTAACATTTCAAACATTTAAATGAAATAGGTTTTATTGAATGAATGTTGGTTAAGCAAAAACAAATATATAAAGTATCAACGTTTCCAGTACCACGCATCTTTCTGCGATATTGTTGAGTTTGCGATAGGTTAATTTCAATTATGTAATTTCACTATTCTTTAAATCTTTGTTTTTCAACGATACAATTTTCAAACCCCCTACACCATATTTGGAAATTAGTGAAAAGTGAGACAAAATGAACATGGCAGTACATGACAAAATTTCAATATAGTATTATGTTTGGCCATTAAAATGAAGTTGTGTTATGTCTCTTAATATTGCTACTGTTAGAGACAATATTTAAAGTAAAAACGCCAATGATATAAAAAAAAACCACACTTTTATACTTATTATTATCTACTGTTTCCTTTATTTGGGCGCTATCCCGATCGTTTCTTTTAGTATAACCCGTCTAGAAAGTGTAGTATTTTGGCATATCTAATAATGGTGAATCTCTTCATGTTAACATTTTATAATAAATTATGTGATAAAGTACTTTCAACAGGAATTTAAAGTAATACGAAGGGCTATATGGCTTATTCTCATTTCGCCTTAGCTGTCAAAATCATTATACAAAATTAATCCCAGTTCGCCTTAGTACAAATTTTCATGTACACAAGAATTAACTAAGGCGAAATTGGAGCTTGTGTAAACAATGTAATTAAGTTATGTTTTGTTTGTATTGCAATTAGTTGATATTTGTTATTTTGATGTCAAATTCTACCATGAAATACTTTTTAAAAGAAGATATTTTTTTTAATTTTTGGTGTCCCACTTTTTAAATAATTCTTTTTTATAGTTGCTCTTCTTTTTCTGAAATTGTATTTTTTTTTTAACTCATGTGATATATTTTGTAAATAAAGTCTTATTAGAGATGGAAAATTGGATACGGAATATTTCATATTTTAATGAATAAATAAAGACAAAATTAATATCATACTATCATAACAAATATTTTATTTCTGAATCAGCACTGAATTTCAAGCACAATTTTAAATTTGCATACTAATAGAGAAAATGTATATGTTATAAATAATAGCATGATAAAATGGTGCGTTTTCTAAGGCGTGTAACCAGTAGTCTTCCAAACGATCTAAGGGCAGTAATGGTAAGGCTGCTGCACGACGGACGAGTTTGTTGACATTTTCTTGTGTCTTTTTCCATATGGCTTTTGCGGAACAAACAAACTTTGAGTTCTGCGTTTGGAAAGACATTAGATACTGCATTTCTGGATGCACATTCAAAGTCAAGACTAACTCTTTCTGGCTGGAAATTCAGGTTGTGTTGGTTGGCGATGTTTTTTTTAGGAGATTGAAGAATCTATATAAGTGTCAGCACCTCGCTGTGGTAGAAGAGAAATCACCAATTGAAACATGGCTGTGCCAACAAATGCATGGATGGTGAATATGCTGTCAAACATTGGTGGTGCTATGTAGAAAGTTCCATCACAGTATACTGTGTCTGCAGTGCATAGTTGTTGTAAGTTCTCAGCAGTTGTAAATATGAGTAGTTTGTTGACGTCACCATTATCAGCTTGCGGAAATGGTTCCTACTTGTGGTCTGGCGAAATTTTCCTTCAAGTTGTATTCTTGGTCTAGTATTTGGTATGCCTGGGTACAGTTTTTGTCTGCTACGATAGAGTGCTGATCTCTTACTTTCGAATGTAGGCAGGTAATTGGTAATTTTGACCAAGCTTGAAGAAGTCAAGTCATAGTATACCATGGATTCTCTTTATTATATATAATTAACACAATTTAAAAAAAATATTTATTATTTTATTTTTTTTATTAAAGTTTCTGTTATGTATGTAAACAAGCTGTGGGAAAAAAATTTTTTTTTCTTTCTTTTTAACTTTTTGTGTTGCACAATGTAAAGGATAATTGAATTATTAGGAGTTTTCTAATTGCATAAAATTCTTGAAATTGAAACTTTTATTAAATTAAGCATAAGAGAAGCAACTTTCCTACTGACTTATGTTTTTATAGTAGATGTTTTTCTGATTTCACAACCTTTGAAATAAAAAAAAATGTCACTTTTAATAAATGAATATAAAAATAATAATTCAAGAGAAAATATTCCCTAATTATATGTTGTTTAAATTGTTATAAAAACACAGAGGTTTAATTTGTTTATTTAATTTTTTCATCTAAATTCACATTTCGCCTTAGTTCAATTCCCATATCGCCTTAGTATTATTTTTACCTTTTTTACCTGGAATTCACAGCTAAGGCGAAATGGGAACACACCATACGAAGTAATTGTGTAGCCGGATCTCTTTGTCGTCTGTTATCATGATTATAAAAGTGTTTAGTAAAACGACTCCTCACCTGGTCGATGGATTACATGACCATCTAATCTGACAGAATAATGTTTCAAAGAGGAACATAATAAAATAGGATGTCATTTAAATAAGAGAAACCAATATTTTACCGGTATTTGAATATGTAAATAACCTTAGAGAATGGGTACACCAAAAGGTAGCCGTCTCCTGTCATAAATCCTTTACCCACCATGCGAATCCACACTCAGTGAAATGTCACAATGAGGAATATACCACAGGACGTTCGGCACACAACAATAAATCAATTAATATAGGAAATATTATAGTTTTCCACATAGGACCTAAATGTTATGGAGTCAATTCAATTATATAGTTATAAGCCGAAAGTCCCCCAGAGGGAACTGGTTCTCCTAGCTAGGGAACAAACCATCGACAAATTTATCTACCTACAAATACGTTATGGGGTCAAATACTGGATTATACAATTTTTATCTTGGTAAAATAAATGTATTCTTTATAAAAAAATGAAGAAAGTTCCTATTATAATAAAAAAAGCAGATCACACTGCGTATATCAATTTGTAGTTTCCCTAGAGTTTTTGCTCATACTAACATGTAGTCCATCAATTTATTAATATTACCTATCCTCGGCACACAAAAAAAGTCTTAAATTGGTCTTGAACCTGAAGGTTAAAATAGCAGAGAAAAAATCATGTTTAGGTCAGTCTGTATGTGCCTATATCACAGTTAGTTTTTCCAAAATTATTGTGAAGTAATTTTTACTTTTACATGTTCTATGCATTCAAAAACAAAATATCAATATCAACAAAATATCAAAGTTAACATTTACAGTTTTTGGAGATTCAAATAGGGATATTTGGATTTATTCTCACCGATTTCCACCGATGTTTGTTCGATTGTCGTCTTTATATTTAATTTCATTTGAAAACGTTTTTTTATAAAACTATCAAATTTTGGCCTTTACTTATACACAGTATTGATTTGACTTGTACGGCACTATCCTGTTTAATCGGTTATTTCTTTTTCATAACGTAAATACACATGATACGCTTTCCAATGAATACAATATACTTTAGTTGTATACCAGGTAAACGGTTGTATTTATAAATACACATAATCAATCATACTAGATCTTCTTTACATGGAAACGTTGTCATCAGTTATTATGTTGATGTACTTACCTGTTTTTCCCATAACAAACAAAACTGTATATTCCAAGACAAACCAAAGTACATTGCACATTCTTATTTTCGCCATTTTTTTTAAAAGTGTACACAATGTAGATGATGTACATGAATGAACTTAAGCGTACGAACAAGGAAGTAGAAACATATATACATAAGGACTTAAAACATAAAATTGCGTAGTATTCATATTCAGGTTCCGGTGAAATAGATTAATGACATTCTTTAATGTAGACAACGGTAATTTATCAATGTTCAAATCTTATAAATCGAATAGGAAGACAGATCAAAGTTCCTAAAACTGAAGTACGTCCAATATTCATTTTTTTTCTAAATTCAATGATGAGTACTAAAATAGTGCATTATTCATTATTCAACTTTTAGCAATGATTAATGAATCGCCTAGATTTCAGTATGCACGCTTAATATTGAATAATAGAAAACACATCTTTATTTTGTCAATCATATTCTTCTATCTTCGATTGATTTAACTTCACATGTTTTTTCCAATGCGCTTTCTTTCCCTTTTATTATTAATAATCCAATGCGCTTTCTGCATAGTAGGCACGCCAGTACAGATAATCAATTTGACATCAGAATTCCTATAACCCATTAAAGATCTTATAAAGACAAGGTATTAAATAATATTGTTTTCCCTAATTTTCGAATTTTTTACAAATACAAAAATGAATAAATTAAACTAATACATTTTAATTGTATATATAAATGATAAAAATAATTAACCAACATTGAGTAATCAATATATAGAAAAAAAAACTGTGATAAATACTATTTCTTTATTACACCGTGTATACAAGGAAGGTAACTTATAAGAAATAAACGAAACAGCTGAATTAAAATGTGAGATCAATAATATAATGTTCGATGATAAAAGGGGCGATCGAAGGAACAACTCTAAATATAATAATGATCTCCAACTAGGTGATGGCGGATATTTAATCTTTGTAATGGGTTTAAATCGACAATGTTTGTCGTCCACTGGCAAATGTTACCTGTGGGTACTACCTATGTATTGCGTGGTAATGATGGGCCGCTGGAATCACAGGTGCAAGACAAAAGACTTGCTTATTCACAAAAAAATAACAGGGAATGATCCGAGTAAATATTTCATAAACGGCTGATGGAACCTTCTCGTACTTTACATTTTTCGAAAGATATATATTTGTTCTACAAATTGAGCCATATATGAAGATTTTAGGCCAAGAAATTAAAAAGAATTCAGCTTTGCGAGTTTTGAAAAAAAATGTCCTCAATGGTCGACGTCGGACACTTGATTGGACACAGCTGCTTCATCCGACTTGAAGCGTTACGGTCATATGAATACTGAATTTGACGTAACCGCCCGATTTAACTATGTAAATTGCATAAAATTAGCCTATATTCATCTGAGCAACCTATCGCACTCTCGGAAACTTTTATAATATATATTCAAAAGGAAATGTAAAATTCAACACAATTTGTACCATGATGACGGAATCTATCTAAAATACTAAATGAGAGACCTTTTGCACTTTTTGAACTACATGGTTTTATTGATCAGCGTTACTCAATGTCCTGAAGCAATCTTTATATGGATAGTACACACTAATTGCTATGTTGACGTAATGTATAATATTGAGAGGTGGTACTTATATAATATATTGAATTGAAAACTGTGCCCAGTGTAGTTCGTCATCATTACTTTTCATTATTCTATTTGCATTATCGATGGATGGGATTGAGGATGGTGAAACATAAAATGTCACTCCCGTCATTCGAATCGTGTATACAAATGTCAATACTGCAGTTTCCAAATCTAATGGAACAGGATAGATCCAAATGTCAAGCATAAATTACAAACAACAGTTTCTTTAAAGTCAAATGATACTTTAAATTTAACAAAACAGTTAAATATGTTTTGTATACTTTAAGAATTACTATTAAAAAAGAGTACATAGACTTTCACATATAAGAAAATCCTTTGGGTATCTAAATCTTCAGAAATGTACTGGTGTTGAATTATTGTCTTCCCGTACTCTAATTCGCCGACATCTTTTTGTATGCAGTCCCTTAATCATGAACCTTTTGTTAAACCACCAAGCGCAATTGCGAGGTGAAAACCGCGATGAAATAAAAGGTAAGCACATGTGAAAAGAAGATAATATTAATGGATTTTGAAAAAAAAATTCAATATACAAAATTAATGATTTAACAACGATGATGACAAAGTTTGGTTAACACACGGGAACGCATGTCAAACATAAAAAAAAACAAATGTATATCGCTCTATCGTCTCACTCATTTAACACGTGCTCCATGCTTCTGTATTAATTGTTTATCAATAGGTAACGATCGGTAAAATTTGATACCAAAACCCGAAAGTTTTTAGCAGCCAACATTTTCTATCAACACTCATAGATGGAAATATTTGTTGTCGATGGATTTATAATAGATGTAGAAAACGTGCTCAGAGGACTTCGTTTAGTACATATGCATGCATTGGTTCAATAATTTCCTTAACAGTGTAATAACAAAAACTAGTTCCATATCAATCTATTTGTAACTGAAAAGGGATTTAAAACAAGAAAAAAAAGGACTAAAATCCTTGAATTCGACAAACATGTATTGCTCATGTATATCAACATTAACGACCTAGAATTTGTATTAGATTATCAGTTGACAATGTGTTTTAAATAAGCAATACTATTATCTAATTAACGCGCCAGTGATTACGTTCATGTCTAAAAGAACTACAGTGACCTTTACTACTGTCAGTGCAGATAAGAAATTAGTATAGTAGATAACGTACGAATACAATGCAGCCTGCATTTGTATACATTCTTTTTATCAAATTTCAATATTTGTAAAGTCAATTGTTATTTCATAAATCCTTTAACGTCTAGTGGATAATTTCTTCCTTGTGTTTGAATTATGCAATTTTAAACAATACAATGTATTTAACTGTCATCACACTTAAGGAAACAATTGATATCAAGTATATGTTTGATCAGCCTTGTTCATGTCTTAATCTTTATTGTGCTTTTTAAAATGTCATTGATAGAAAAGATAGCGATTTATAAATTCACATTAGATAAGAGTACAGTTTATTTATCAATCTATATATCGCAGTGTGTTTCTTGACCCGAGACACAAACTAAGATTAATGGCTCAGAAAATATCATTGCATCGGGTAGGATCAAATTTCTGCACTCGAGACTGCTTGATAAAACAAGTAGCAAAGTGGTTTATATAAATGAAATGTTAGACGTGAGGAAAACTATCATTCTGTTTGTTTCTCTATTCTTTTTTCAGAAACCAATTGAATGGCTGTGTGATAACATGAAGAAAAAAAGCAAATAGTGTAGAAGGTATCATATAAATGTAGAATCCAGAATGTGTTTGACTTACCTGCTTTTGTAACCATTTTCAAAACATATATTATCCTAAAATAAAAAAAATAAAACTCGGCGCCTTTTGTAGCAGATTTTATTTACTTTAAGTGAACTCAATTATCAGGAAAAATAAACGCTTAAATAACACCTTTTTCCTGGAAAACGATCTACTGCGGTACAAGTTTTAATATGAACAGAAGACATATTTTTACTAAGAAAGAAAAACAAAATCTCATGTAAAGAAGTTTCACATGCTGAACTCTTAAAAAAGTTGGTACTTAACGAAGTAAAACTGTAAATTAATGTAATTTTTCAGAAGATTAAACAAGTAATACTTTCGATTAATACAGGCTCGTGTGAAGGAAATTAAAAAGTTTCGCTTCACCAGATTTTTACAGGGACTCGGGTTTTTTTCCATTATATTGATACGGATAGTCAAATGCACATTGATAGAAAACAAATAAATAATGATGGCAATGTTAAATACGTTAATGATGTAAAACAAATAGACAGAAAATATAAAATATAAATAAAAAAACATTAACCCTTTCACAAGAAATCTTACGAGAAAAAAATACTCGTAAGTGAACATTTCGGTATAACTTACGATCAATTTTTATCGTAAAATTTTTGTGAAAAGAAGCCCTGTGATGATGTGAACAAAATATCTTAGGACTAGGACATGTTTTACGATGGTCTTAGGACATGGAATCGTTCTAAGACAGGTTAACGAAAGTCTTCTAAGATAAGAGATGTCTTAAATTTTATCCTATTATTAGGATAGCATATTTGGTATTTCAAGATGGTTAAAAGTGTTATTAGTCCTTAAACTTAGTATGTCATAAGTCGAAATAAAAGCTTCAAACTATATAAAATTCTCTATGTGTGGTGACATCAGCAAGCAGAACGTATACAAATAATGAAAACCAAAGTTCAAATCTATATAACGCATTGATTAACAAAGGATTAAAGGACGATTATATTTAAGGCACCGACCATTCATCTTTTCTTAGGAGGCATGTATTTTGTCATTGGACTAACATTTTTCCTCTCAATGTTATCGAAATACAAGCTATTTTTTTCAGTAGCACGAACAAGATTTTTCTTTAAAGTCAATGTTGCTTGAATTCATTTCCCCCTAAATTTCGATAGAAACACACTGATTTTCTCACTTCCTTTTCAAAATAATTATTTTTCAAAAATATAAGAATTGAACGATTTAATATGACAACAACATTCCCAATGAGAATGATCGGTGTCTCATTTCTTTATATTACGTATCTTATGTTAAATACTTTATTGATTTTCTATTATCGACAGTAAAATTGAGAATGGAAATGGGGAATGTGTCAAAGAGACAACAACCCAACCATAGAGCAGACAACAGCCGAAGGCCATCAATGGGTCTTCAATGCAGCGAGAAAATCCCGCATCCGGAGGCGTCCGTCAGCTGGCCCCTAAACAAATATGTATACTAGTACTATGATTATTAATCGTTCTGTTGGTCTTGTAACAGTTTATGAAATAATATAATATTCCACTTTTTATACATGTACATGACTTTGTATATTATAGAATATCATACATTTATGGTTATACATAATACTTCCACATATATATATATATAAACAAGTCTAAATTGAAAACAACGTTCAAACCTATGATTGCGTTGGATAAAAACCGCAATTTTTATACGTGTGCATGCAAAACAAATTTCTTGTTAGAGG